CTTCTCATGGCCAGTTCGCTATCACGAACAATTCTCACGAACAGTTTTCCATGGTCCTGGGCCCCTCGAGGCCGAAAGCAGTGTACAAAGGAACTCGCGGCGGCCCCAATGAGGGGAAAGGAAAGCTTTCTTCTACAGGGGCGCAGTGCTTGGCATTGCTAGGCATTCCTGGGCATTGCTAGGCATTGCTTGGCACTGATTGGCGTTGCTTGGCAAAAGGCGCAAGAAACCCGGGGAACCCGGGGGCGGGGGAACCCGGATAACCAAGGGAACCGGGGGTGGGGAACCCAGGAAACCCGGGGACCTACAGGATCCTGCGCTGCAGAAAATTGCCGGGCACGGCATTTCGCGAGAAATGCCGAGCACACCATCTTGCGAAAGCTTCTCCAACGAACTGCTGGACACCATATGATCTTCATGCGGTTCGCACGCAATGTCACGATACTATGACCGAATTGATGGTGCATTATTGCTTCCAAGCGGGATCTTGTAATGCCCGAAGGTTCCGCCCGAGATGCCACGGAGGCATCAACACATTGACGTTATGCTGTTTTGTTTGCAAAGGGTCCAGCGCCCAAGATGCCTGAACCTTCAGATGCCGAAATGTTCCGCCCAAACTGCCACGGTGGCATCAAAACGTTGATGTCTTAAGCGTTGTATTTTGCAAAGGATCCAACGCCCGAGAGGCCAGAACCTTGAAGTGCCGGACGGTTCCGCCAAAAACGCCACGGGGGCATCAAAATATTGACTTCGTATGTGCTTTAACAAAAAGGATCCAGCGCCCAAGAGGCCGGAACCTTGAAATGCCGGAAGGTTCCGCCCAAAGCGCCGTGGGTTCATCAAACTATTGAATTTGTATGCGGTTATACCAGGGATCCAGCACCCAAAAAGCCAGAACCTTGAAATGCCAGAAGGTTCCGCCCAAAGCGCCGCTGGGGCATCAAACCATGAATATTGTATTGTTTTTGTATGGGAGGCCGGAAACGTAAAATGCTGCTAGCTTCCGCCCATGATCGCCTACGCTCATGTATTTTCTCATTTGCAGTCGGCGGGGTCAGAGGAGTATGCAACCAATTCATCGACATGCTGGGCGATGCACTTCCCGAAGTCGCATTTCACAAATGCCGGGCCGCGCAGCATTAAATGCTGGATGCGGCATGAAACCCGAATGCGGCCAAAAAAATCCTGAGGGGATCCTGTACGAACCCGGGGACGCCGGGGAATCTGGCCCGGAAAACCCGGGGAACCTCGGGCAACGTGGCCCCCCGAGACACCCGGGCCGAGGAACCCGGGGAACCTGGGGAACTCGGGGAACCTCCGAGCAACGGGCACCGAGGTCCCGCGCGAGGCACCATTCTTCTCAACCAGGTAAGAACCCCTGGGCAAGCCTAATTTGGGAAAGACGCATTGCTGTTCCAATCCGTTGGAGTTCTGGTGTCGAAAGAGCCGCCAAACCTCCACAGCACGTTTCCTCCAGGACCCCTTTCCCTCATGCAGAGCGTCGCACGATCCTGGAAGGCAGCTGAGGGCCAGCAGCCCTCGGCTCCAGCAGCCGACGCTGATCACGCCATCGCCCACGCTCTTCAGCATCCAGCAGCGGGCAACAGAGGCGGGCAGAGAGACGTGCCCAACAATCCTCCGACCCCCGCGCGCCGTGAAAAGAATACGACGCGTTGCCTCAGAGGGGTCCTTGCTGGGTCCCAAGACCGTCAGTAAGGACTCCGCAAAAACCGTCCCATAGGAGGGGTCGGGACCTCCAGGGATCCTTCGCTCTGGGAAACTCACGACATTGGGGGGTCTAGGTCCAATATGTTACAAGAGGGCTGCCCTCCTCTATTCTTCCCATTCCTCCTCATCACCCTTGTCATTCCCATCCTCCTACTTCTACTCTCCCTCTCCTCCTCCTCCTCCTCCTCCTCCTTCTCCTCTTCCTCCTCCTCCTCCTCCTCCCACTCCCACTCTCCCCCTTTTTTGGTTGGGGGGGTGCGCGAGGAAAAATAAAGGGCACCACAAAGCACGAACACATGGCAACTGTGCGGGCAAAATCGCAACCCGTGCGGGCAAACGAAGCCTCATCCTTCGTTTCTTATTTGTATTATTGTTAGTCGTATGAATAGTATTAATATTATTACTCTTTTTATGATTGGTACTATGATTTGTATTATTATTATTATCATCATTATTATTATTAGTATTATTATTATTATTATTATTATCGATGCTCCGCGTCGTCGCGATTCTTGAACTCCACAGCCCGACATGGGCGAACCCTACGCAATGCCCAGGAAGGCCCAAACGCTTCCCCCGACCTCCACGGCCCTCCTTCTCGCCCTCTGCCCTCCTCGGTCCCCCCCCCCTTCTCCCTCCTCCCTCCTCCCTCCTTCCTCCTTCCTCCTCCCTCCTCCTCCGCCTCCTCCTCGTCGTCCTCCTCCTCCTCCTCCTCCTCTTCCTCCGCTTCCACCTCCAACCTCCTCCTCCTCCTCCTCCTCCTCCTCCTCCTCCTCCTCCTCCTCATCCTCCTCCCTCGCTGCTTCCTCCCTCCTCCCTCCTTCCTCCTCCCTCCTTCAAGACGATGCTCTGGATTCCTGAAGAGGGCCTCTGGCTGAGGAGAGCGCCCCGTTCCGAGCGGGACATGAGGCCAGCGACGCACGGCCACTTGCGGTATCCTGCCATAGACGTTGTGCGGTTTGGTGGGATCCGTAGGGGACAAACAAGCCACCCCCATAATAACCACCCCGACAGGCATGACCGTTTAGTAAACTCGCCCATTAAAGGTATCGAGCGGGGCAGGGCTGTTAGTAAACGCCCAAAGCCATTTGGCAAACGCCAAGTGTCCAGTCAGGGTGTTTTTTCCTCCCTTGAATCCTTTTGCTGTACTCTGCTGTGGCATCACCCAATGAAGCCTGAGAGTGGACTCCACTCACACCAGCATGCTACACTGTCGCACGCTCAAACGGGTTGGTCAACTGCACGCCCCCGGAAAAAAAGGGGCACGTGCAAGGGCCAGTGAAACAGCGCGCACCACGAGTCCTCCTGAAAAAGCCCTCCAGGAGCCCCGTCAAGGAAGGACAGGAGGAGAGCAACGCTGCGCTTTTCAAACGATTGGCTCGCGTCATCTGATAGAATTCACGCCATTCGAGCGGATCTTGTGAGCCGTCCACGCGATGAACGTGTGATTGGACTGGCCCATCTGCATGCAACTTCTGCGCCCATGCCGCGGCAAGCTACGAACTTTGCATGACCACACCCTTGCAGAAGAGAAACCAGGGGGCCCGAAAAGAATGTCACGGATGGCCCGAAACCCTCTCACATGGGAGGCCTGGAGCCCTTCCACATGGGAGGCCCGAAAACCTTCCACATGGGAGGCCCGCAAACCTTCCACATGGGAGGACCGACCACCTTCTCAGAAGGAGGCCCCGAGCCCTCTCACAGGATGCTCGAAACCCTTTCGCGGGAAGGCCCGACACCTTCTGACAGGGAGGCCCGACATACTTTCACAGGACGCCCAGAACCCTGTCACTGTGAGGCCTGCAACCTGTTTCACAGGGTGGCCGCAGACCCTCTCTCCGTGGGGGCCCTAAAACCGGCCACTGTGGGGCCTTGAACCCTGACAATGTGGAACCGAATGGTAAGAAACAAGTTACAAGCTGAACGTTTACTGTCGCACGGCCCCAGCTGCTGAACCGTCTAAGTGCTGAATGCTGTCCCAGGCAAACTCAACCCTGCCGACGGCGGCCCTGCGGCAAGAAATGGCCTGGGCAGGATCGGCACAACGGCGGCACCCTAAGCGGAGAAAAAAAGTCCGCTGCGGAAGCACGGGTGGTCCCCGTCCTGCAGACGCCCCAACAATTCAGGAACGCACGCGGGGAATCGTGAGTGAAGTTGTGCGTCCATACCTACGTGCACCCGTCGGTTGTTACAGTCGAGCTTGGTTGGAGAGGATACGCGGAAGGACACAAGACCCTTTCAAATGCAAAGTTGCCCTTGAAAGGCAGGAATGCACGGAAGAAAGGATGCCCTTGAAAGACGGTGCGCGGGAGAATGAGGAGGCATGGGTCGCGAAACTCAGAACACAAGGGTGGCGCGATGGTTGACAGGACCGAGGCCTTCTACAAACGACAAGTTCAGCACAATGGTTTGAATGCGGACAGGCTGCGCTCGAAGCGGAGGGGATGCGAACTCGAGATGCCAACGTCGAGGCCTTCTGTAATTCACCCACCGTACCTGTACAAGGCAGCGTGGCAATACGGAGAACTCGAATGCTTGCTGGAGTAACTTCGCCAGTGCCGTGGGGAATAGCACGCACGAGCAATGTTGAGCAGAAGGAGGAGGAAGCGAAGGGCGAAACACAAGAAAGTATGAGGATGAGAAGAAAGAGGCCAGGGAGGGGTGAGCGGGCAACGGCGCTGTGCTTGCAGCCTTGGTTGTCCGACTGATCACGAGCGAGCGAGCGAGCGAGCGGCCTGCATGCCAGGGCCCTTGAAGAACGGTCCCCCACAAGGCAAGCCTCGCAATGAAGATAAGAACTAAAAGGAAAGGCCAGCGCAGTACAACCTGATAAATCTGATGACGAATATACAAGCCATGCGAAAGACAACCAATGGTCCCAAAACGTTGGCTTGACAACGGAGTGGTGCTAGTTCATAACTGCGACGCCCTTTCGGGTCCTTTGCCGCGTCAACCAAGTCACCCACACATGATTGAAATGGGCCAGACCACGGCGCAGCGACAGCAACTGCTTGCACTGCATGTCGCTGAAGAGAGGCATTAGCACCTCTGACACACCTAGCCAACAAGACTACCAGCAATGTGGTGAGACAGACCTAGGTGTGACCCTGTCGTCCGAAATGAAGCGCCTTCTGGCCACGGGCATGGTCACACACACACACACAGAAAACGACTTCGCCACGGCCGTCGTATCGGGCAGTGTGACGGGCAATGTGGTGAGACTCCGCCAGAACATGCCATCCGACTCATCGTCCCTTCTGGCAGAGGCAGTATCACGCAGCAGACGACTTTGCAAACCTTTCTGCTGACTCATATCGCGAGTCGTCTTGCTCGGGGGGCTCGCCTCCCCGCGAAGTCAATCGAGAGGCCATAATGCTGCGCATGTAGCTACCCTGCAGCGAAGAACGCTCTGAGATTTCGTCCATGCGGTCCATGACGCCATCATCCATGGACGCCAAGCGGTCGGCCATGCTTTTGCACTTGTCGCGCTTCGAGCTGCACGGCCTCAACCGGCGAACCGTGTCGTGCTCCAGGTGGCAGAACTGGCACGCATCCTTCTCGGGGCAGCTACGCCTCTTCACAAAGTAGCGGCAGGGCTTGCACTGGCCGCTGTCGTGCAGCTCCCTCGGGCACACCGGCGCCGCTGCCCCGGCCGCAGCCCCGCCAGGCCTGCCCGCTGGAGCCCAGCTGCTGGAGCTCTCGCCCTCCTGCGACGGCGCGGCCGCCGATGCTCCCCAGGCCGGCTGGGCCCCCGCCGCGGGGCTGGATCCCTCCCGCTGGGCGCCCTGCGGCCGGCCGCCTCCGCTCGCCACGCCGCCCCGCTCGCAGCTGTCGCTGCGGCTGCTGTCGTCGCAGAACTGCACGCCCTCAAGCACCTCCGCCGCCCTCGCTGCCTGCTCAGGTGGCCCGGAGCTGGAGCCGCTGCCCTCGCTGGCGCTCAGCCCCTCCAGCCGCCCCCAGACCCTGTGCATCGGCTGCTCGCGCGCCTGCTCGTCGTGCGCGCCGCTGCTGCCGCCAGGCCAAGGGCCGTCCACGTGGGGCTTGCTCATGGACGATGCCACGCGCCAGGCTCCGGCAGCCCGCGTCGCGCCGCGGCGGGGCCCATGGACCATGGATGATTCGAGCGGCTCTCGGGCAAAAACGGCTACGGAGCAGCCCCAGAACCTGGCCGGGTCATGGTGCAATCCTGGTGGGGGCCCTGGCGCAGTCCTGGTGGGGTCCAGCCGTGGCGGGGCCCTGGCAGGTTCCTGGTGGTAGGGTGCTGGTTGGTCACTGTAGCTCCCTGGTTCTGACCTGGTGGCGTCTAAGCTCCAGCAAAAATTAGGGTAGAACGCCCTGGTGAAAATACAACGAGACCTTGCAGCTTTCACGTAGGATGTCCTGGAACACGCCGAGAGCACCACTTCGTGGTGGTGCAGTGGCTCGCGATAAACCGAAGGCATCACTCTGAGCAGGGGCGTCGACGGCCCCAAGGCGAGCCCGCCCTTCATGCATACGTCTGCCAAACTGGGCGGCAGCCTTGATGGTAGATGCGAGCAATGCTGAGAGGCGCCTGGATGTCTTGGAGGTCAAAACCCAACGGCCTCCTTAGGCACCTGCATCGGAACAGCACTCGCGGATGCGAGAACACACAGGAAGCGACAGAGGGAGAGCGAGAGAGAGAGAGAGAGAGAAAGAGAAGAGCGAACAAACAAGCGAATAATACAACCAGTTTGTGCCACTTCATACTGCGACCAAGAGAAAGAGATATACAGAGGGAGAGAGAGAGAGGGGAAAGAGAGAGAGAGAGAGAGAAGGAGAGATAGGAGGCGAGGGAGGGATACAGAGACGGAGAGAGAGATAGAGAGAGATAGAGAGAACGATGCCAGTGGGCCTCATGCTCGCGCTCCCGCACTGTCTGGTGCCGCTCTTCCAGCCTCTGCTCGTAGGCGACACGGCAGGCCTGTACACAACAAGGCGGATGCAATGTCTCGGTCCATGCCTCCGCTCCACTGCCAGTGCTGCTACTGCATCACTCTGGATGGCAGAGCGCCTTCAGGGGCCGTCTCCGCCGAGGGTCATCAAACCACCGCGGGCAGAGACATTCCAGGCGGCGAGGATGGCCAGGCTCCACTCTGTTTCTCCGTCCTGGGGAGAGGGCCCACATCGAAACCGCCGCTGTCAAACTGCCACGGCCATTATGCAGTGCCCAAACGATTTACTGGGGACAAGGCCGACAACGGAATGAAGGATCTAATCGATCCCCACGCTGGAGAACAGCGCAAGGAAACGTCAAAGGGCCATGCTCGAGGGGCACCACTAGCAAGAATACAATCACAACGCAGTGGAGGCATCCATGGAGCAGACGCACAGCCACCCAGCAGCTCAAGCTCCAACACCACAGGCTGGAACGGCACGAGAAGGCAGGGGGGGACAGTGTGCAGCAGCGCCTCCTGGTGCTCGTCGCTTCTCTTCATCATCTGCTGCAGCCACTCCGCCTTCTCCCTGCGCAGCGCAGGCGAGGAGGGCGCACCCATCTCAGCCAATGCCTTGAGCCGACGGCGTCGTTTCGAAAGCTGTCTGCTCGGGAGCAGTCGGTCGCCCTCCTTGGGAGGGATGACGAGATGGAGGACGGGCGGAGAAGGAGTGCGCGGAGGCGTCGTGGAGCAGGAGGAGCAATTGAGATGGGAATTTCATATGGAAGGAGGCAGCTGCCCCCTCCCTTCTCATCCCTCGTGCGCAGCCCGCCTCACCACACACACACACACACTAACACCAATACGCCTTGAAGAAAAACGCTGGACAGAGCTCAAAGCTGGGACCGAGGGGCCCTAGAAGAACCCCCCCGCTACAACGAAGAGAGCAATGCCGTACACCAAGACGGCAAATATACAAGTTTAACAACTTAGCCCAACTGGTCCCATCAAAACAAGAAACAAGAACTGCCATTCTGATGGATGGAATAATTCTGCCCTAACCGTTCTCAACTGCACGCCCAACCGTGACCGATCTGGACTACAAACATTGAATGGAAGAAGCCTGATGCATTCGAAGGCTCACGATAAAACCATCACAAGCTGCCCCTGAGTGTGTGTCTGGCCGCTGTAGTTCCGAGATGCAAAAGCAAAAACTATTGCTCCCGTTCTTGCTGCCGTTGCCCCGCGACCTGACCCGCAAATCGCCTGCGATCTGCCTCACGATCCGCCCAACGACTCGCCGGCGACCCGCCTACAATTGCCGAGACCCCCACCTGTCGCGATCCTCGGCCGCCGCGACTCGCCCCACGATGGGCCCTGCCTGCGACCCGCCTTCGGCACGTCGGCCCCCCGCGACCCGCCCGCCGACCCTCCCGCGCACCGCGACGCGACCAGCGCCGCGTCCCGCCCCCCCGATCTGCCCCGCCACCCGCCTCGCGACGCGCCAACGACCCGCGCCCACCGCGACCCGCGGCCTCCCACCCTTCTGTCCGCTCGGGGGCCTTTGACAGCATCTCGAAATTCGTGAACGCGAGACTGCTGCATCTGCTGAACCAGAATCGTGGCGAAACTCACTTGGATGGACGATACCAACACATCATGTGTTCGAGGACCTGGTGCCCAGACCATACTTGACTGCCGATAGTGCTGACTCAGGAACGTGCGGCACAGAAAATGCGCGCAAGCAGCAAAAACAACAAGCGAGGACCCCGAAAGCAAATGGATGCATCGTCAAGGCGCCAAGCTTTCAGGCTTTCATTCTTTCGCTTCCACTCGGCTGTGTCGTTCACCTGTTCAGCGGGAGAAGGGAGAACGTGTGAGAGAGAAGGCAGGACCGCCCAGGCAGAGTTGCGCCTCCCTGGGCGAGTAGCCATCGAAACAGACTGTGGGTTGGAATGTGAGGTCGACATGGAACGGAATCGCCCAACCACAGGAAATCGATTGCTGTTTCAGCTCAGGTCGCGCGTGCGGGCGAGACAAAGCAGCGCCAGTTCCTGCACCGCTTAGGCCCATGCCACTCCAGAATGAAACGGTGACCCGCCTTCAGGGGCGTGCCCGGGGCTATCCCGCGGTTGACCCGTGGTTGTCCCGAAGTTGACCCGTGGCGGGCCCAGGGATGTCCCATGGTTGTCCTGTGGTTGTCCCGCGATTTTCCCGCGGTTGTCCTGTGGTTGTCCCGCGCTCGTGCCGTCGTTGCCACGCTGTTGTCCCGTGGTTGTCCCGTAGTTGTCGCGTGGTCGTTCCGTGGTTGTTCCGTGGTTGTCTCGTGGTTGTCGCGTGGTTGCCACTGGTTGACCCAAGGTTGACCCGTGGTTGTCCCGCTCAGGGAGTGATAATGGGACCCGTAGGTCGTATGGTAGCGAGCTCGAATAGAACAGATACCGAATGAAAGTGATGAGACAAGGAAGCATTGAGATCTACCAATGTTTGAACAACTGGATCGGTGGATCCGCTGGAGGTCTGCGAACCATAGGAACAGTTCGGCCAATGAATATACACATACATGGATATCATTGAACATGCAGGTGTATGTGTCCTAGGGTCATGACATAGACTGTGAGACGAACATCGAGTGTGCGGCAATGAATTCTATGCACCTGAGATGCTTGAGACGGCAATCGTATCCGTCACCGTGCCCTGAGGCACGACTTTGAATGTGCTGATGATTCTTAGAGGGCCGGGGCCCCAAATTCTTGACTCTTCCGGGGCGTCTCGCGAGCCCCCTGCGCCCCGCCGCGTTTTGTCGCGCGAGACGGCTGAATCACAAGAGGGCCCCAAGACGGGCCAATAGCAACCCAGGAGGCCCCTCAAGACCGTCCAAGAGGGCCCCGAATCGCCGAACGATCGATCAAAGACGCCCAAGATGGCCTGAAGACGGCTGAAGAGGCGCACAAGACGCCTCCTCCCAAGAGCGCCCCAAGAGGCGAAACGCACGCATCCAAGCTTGTTTAAATGAAAAACAGCGGTTGCATATGTGAGGTTTCGGGCATCACGGCGTTCAAGACGGTCCAAGAGGCCCCCAATATCGCCCCAAGACAGCCCAACACTGTTGGACCGTCTTAGGGCATGTTGGGCAAACAGGCCCCCACCAGGGCCCCGAAACTGCCCAAGAGGGCCCCAAGACGGACCAAAAGGCGCCCCAGACAGCCCAAGAGAGCCCCAAGACGGCCCCAAGTGGGCCCAAGAAGGAGGAGTCCTAATCTACAACTTGAGCTTTTCGCCACAAGATACCCCCAGGAAGCCCCAAAAGGCCCCCAAAGGCCCCCCATGAGGCCCTCGAGACGCCCCAAGATGCGTCAACAAGGCCCCCAATAAGCTTGACAACTGCCTCCAGCAGGCTCTCTTCGCGGAACCGATGCGTTATGGAGATCCTCCCCCCCTGTTCCGCAGCGGGATATGTCTGCGAGCACGGCAGTGTTGGGAAAGATTCGGACTCTCTGTCGGATTCCACGGACGTGGGAACAAATCACCTCAAGCCGGCTTGAAGCAAGAATGGCAGCTGGCGGCAACATCAAGATACAGCGCGAGCGGAATAAGTAGGCGAGCGGCGTAAAACGATGACGGAGAAAGACTCTGACGCCATAAGCCATATATACCAACAAGAAACGCGTTGCGAAGGACACGGTTCTTAAAACAATTACATGTTCGAGCACGTCACTAGCAGCTCAAATCACAGTCTCGCCAGAACGCAAGTGAGATCTAGGACATACAAAAAAAGGAAATTGCACAGGAAAGAAAACAACCAAGCATAATATGTTAAGGGCTATGCGGCTATGGGGCTATAGGGCTCTGGGGCTACAGGGCTATAGGTAGGGCTATAGGGCGATAGGGATATAGGGCCATAGGGCTATTAGGGCTATAGGGCTATAGGGCTATAGGGCTATAGAGCTATAGGCCGATCAAGCTATGAAGCTCTAGGGCTATAGGGCTATAGGGCTACCGGGCACCGGGGCACCCGGGGCACACGGGCACCGGGGCACTGGGCACCTGGGCACCCGGGCGTGCCGCCGAATCGGCGCCACAGCTGGCCTAACCATATGAATCCCCTGGGACTCCTACAGAGGCAAGCTCTGGTAGGGGAAATGTGAAATTTGACTGCAAAATGCAGCCCGTCGCGTAAATAATGCTGTCACTTGGCAGCCCATCGGACATCCGTCTTCCGAGGGGGCGGCGGGGAAAAGGACGTGCGCGAATGCACGGCGAGGGCGGCTGGAAGTCTGCCCCTACGAGCGGCCACTCGGACTGCAGGGCGCCTGGAAACGCCGCCAATGGGAGAATTGGGGCAGGGGCGACAGCCGGAAGCCGCGCGCGCCGCCGCCGCCGGCAAAGAGAACTCGCGTCTCGGGGCCGTGGGTCCAGGGGGCCGCTCTGGGCGCGATCATGTTTCTGCTCTTCAGGGTGTGCCTCGGGGGCGGGCGCCGCGCGCGATCGGTTGTCCGCCGGCGGGCCCCCCGTGCTGCTGGCGAGGGGCAAAATTTGCATCGCGCGTTCACTAGTTGAGGCGACGCGACTTCGCGCGGCCTTTGTTTGCGCAGCGGCCGAACAATCGTCGGTTTCGTCCGACCCTCTGCTCCGCGCGGTCGCGCGCGCGAGCTGCGTCGACCGCGCGATGCCTGGACGCGTGTCTCTTGTTTTGTCAGCTATGCTGTCGCGGCTGCCCAAGCCGCCGCGCGGCCGCCGCGATCGCGCCCGACGCCCCCGGCGCCGGCGAACGCTGGCGCGCCGCCGGACTCGGCGGGGCCCTGCGCCCGCACCGCGGCGCGCGCGCTCGCCCCCGGGGCGTTTCCGCTGAACGGGGCCCATCGAGAATGAGCGACGTCGCGGTCGGCGGTTTGGAATGCAGCGACCGTGAGCACGCGGATTTCAAGCGCAGTGAAATTGGTGAACGATCGCGGATGTTCGAGGATAAGATCGACATGTCCGACGACGTCGCGGAGGCAGCGCGCGGGGCCATCCAGCGTCGTCCCGATGCCGTGATGAGCGCCCGCGAACGGATCATTCAGCGCATAGCAGAACGCGCCGCGGGCCTGCGACGAGCGGGGGCCGTCGAGCGCTGGATGGCGGCCGCCTCAAGTGCCGCCGCACGGGTCGCTGAAAGGGGTCAATGGCCCACTCTAGCGCTTGCTTCGTGAAGCAGAATGGGTCGATCAGGATGCGGTCGGTTTCCTTCGCGAGGCGAGGGCGCGCCAAATCGCGGGCCGCGCGCGCTAACCCCGCTGACCGGGCAGCGCAGGGCGCGCCACTGATTGGCGAACGCGCCAGTGTCCAGAGCCGGCAAAACGATTGAACCCGACGCCCGCGCCAAGGTCCGTGCGCCAAGGTCCGCGCGCCGCGCCCGCCTAGCGCTATGCCGGATCCCGTGCTGCAGGTGCTTACACAAAGAATGCGAGGTCATGAAACGATTGCGGCCTGACGAAGACTCCGAAGTCCTGCCGGCCATCGCCAGAACTGATGCCGACTCGGGCGCGCGACCGACGCGATTCCTTCATCGCAGGTCGATCCCGCGAGGGTGGCGCTGACGCCACGGTTTGCGGCCAGGCAGGGAGTCAAGGCCGACGGCGCGGCGAAGGCTTTGCCCCGTTTCTCTTCTAGCGTTGCGCGACGCTCCGCCTCTCGCACGGGGCGCGCGGGCCGTCGATGACTGCCCCGCGCCCTGCCTCAACGAAGGCGCGCAGGCACATGGGGAGATGCGGCGTGATAACACTGATCATCTTTGCGAGCTCGCTGCGATCCTCCGCAACGCGAAGCCGCGCGCGCCTCGCGTCGGGCGCGCGCCGTCTTTGCAGGCCACGCGCGGCAAGAGGGGATTTCACCTCGCCCGTGGATGGCGGGCGTCGATTCCGCGCCCGGGCGCACGCCCCCTTCAGGGCAGAGGATAAGGATCTGGCGTGGGCGGCTTTTTCCTCCCAAAGGCACCCGGTGCGCCGCGGCGAACAACGCCTGCCGATTCAGCGCAGGCGCGCGCCGCGCGCGCCGCGAGCGAAGCTGCCCGCGTCGCCGAGCGGCGTAGGCTCCAGCCTGCCATTGCGGCGATCGCCCGACGCATCCTACGCGTGCCCGTGCTGCGCTACATGGATGATCTGTTCTCCGTCGACTACCCCGAGTCTACCGAAAGCGCGCTGGGACGCGACTCGACGGGGCGCGCCGGTCCCCGTTCGCCGATCGCCCAGACGCGTGGTGCGGTTGATTCGCGGCCTACTAGGCCAGGGCGCGATCAAGGCCGAGTAAACGGAACACGGCATGCCCCTCATTGTGCTGGGGCTCGATGTCCACGGCCCCAGCGCGCTTTCAACCGCCGCGCGCAGTGCGGAGCAGCGCCGCCTCGACGCGCAGGTGCCCGCCGAGAGCGCGCAGCCAGCGCGTGGGAAAGTGCTGACATGCATTGCGAGGATGCAGGCGGCTTTGCAGGCCAGCGACGGCGCGGGAAAAATGTCGCCAGGCCTGCGATGCGCGCGCGCGCGCGCCCGCAAACGCAGTGGCGCGCCCACCTTTTTTCGTTAGCGACGCAGGCGACAATGCGAAATTGGCTGGCGCTCTGTCTTGGGGCACGACGTACGCCTATCGGCGCGTCGGCAAGCCCGCTCAGTCACGCCCGCCCTGCCCCTGGGATCGCGGCGCCCCCGCTCGCCGCGCGCGCTGGGCCCAAGTTTGCCCGCGCGCGCGCGGGAAACTACTGGCGAGTTCGAAGCCGCTCCGCGCCGCCCTGGCGGGGTAGAAAGGTGCGTTTTCTCGCCGTGTATTGTTGATGCCCGAACGCGGCGGCCCGACTCCTGTCCGCCCGCGTTATCGC